GTCATTTGCAACTATGAAGTCATCTGGTATTTTGTGTCGTAGATCACACAACACGTTTTTTAATAGTTTGTTTTTCGTGGTAACTCGCAAGTGTTGATTGTTCTGTATCGCATACATTTTCTTGAACTATTTCTTTGGTGACATCGACGTTTTGTTGCGTACTCGCTTGGTCGATATGTTCAGGCCCCTGTATTTCTGCATTGGCAGTTGTGGCGGATGTCAACGGTTCCGAATCGCAAACATTGTCTTGCAAAAATTGTATCACATCTATCACATAGCGTTACCAACTCCCATTTCTTCGGCATCTGCTTTGTCGGCAACTGGCGATTCAACCACTTTACGGTTCGTCCTCGATTTACGTTTGCCTCCTGGTTTGCTCCTTAGTTTGCCCCCGCAGTCCTTCAAACTTTCTTCTGCATGTTCATTGACAGAGGAGACAGTCTCAGACTTGTGTTTGTTCTTTTTCTTTTTACGCCTTTTCTTGAGTGGACTATTATCACTGGTTTCCGTGCTACGTTCGACTGGTAACTCACCGACATCAAATGTTTCCTTTGCTTTCGATTTCTTTCTTTTCCCACACTTTGCTGGTGAAAAATCTGTCGTGTCAATATCAAACTTATCACTCCCCGTGCCACTGCACAATTGACGCGTTTTCTTCAGTTTCCTTCTTGCCTTCATAAAACACTTTCTATCTGTATAGGACGGCATATTAACGTACATGTCGGAAAGTAGGCATACTGCGAGTCTGGGCTTTATCTCACTTTCTTCGGCCATATTTATACTGAACGACCAGATTCACAGTCCACAAGACTGCATCTCCCCACAATTTGAATATTTATTGTTATGTAAATAAATAAATATGTTATTTTTTCGAACACGGATTGGTTACAATTTGCATACACATAGAATTGCATATGCTAGCTCAGATGGTGAAATCACATGGACTTGAATATTTCCCACTAGCTGTTCCGGTCATTTTACATTGGTGATTGCCGACATTCCAAGCTCAGCCGTTAGAATCTGTCATGCTATTCATTCTAAGTGTCGGGACTATTTGCCAAGCTGGTAAAAATACGTTACTACCGTTATAATCGTGTCATTCAAATACGGTTGTAATGCTGCAGTTTGCAATGTGGTCAAGGAGCAGACAAGTGTTCAGAATTACATTCTTTATTACTTGGTTAATTTATTTGACTTGACGGAATTGAAAACAAATTCTCTCCCTCCATAATTTCCCAAGTGTAAAATATCAGGTTCATTACAACGTATTATAAACGCTTGACCGTCTGAGCAACTTAAATAGCAGGTCGTTTTTCAACGACTTAACCAGTTAGCTACCTGGGGATGCCCGGTGGCCGAGGGGAAGACGTGTAGTGGCGTGAAGCTAGGCATTAGGTGTCGTACGCGAGCGCCTGTTCGAGTCACGCACGCAAGTACGTGTTTACTATAATTAGACATAGTCTTTACCTTGCCGTTTATTCGGTGTTATTTGCTTACTTAGCTACCTGGAGTGGTAAATTCTAGCATACCCATATTGACGGCGGATTTTCACCAACTTGACCGGAAAAGGGTTAAGCATATACATACATAATGTCAGTGTGATTTTAGTCGCAGTGTCCTACAGACCAAAATGTGGGGCAAACATTGGAGGAATGCAACAAACAAACTAATATAGTTTATTCTCCTCTATGCAGATTGATTGACATCTGAATTAGTTATTTATTATCTGAATTATTATTGACTTAAACATTAAATTTTTTATTTAATTTTATTTTCCAGATGCAAAATTTTTTGACCTGCGACATATTTTCAAAGAAGTTGCAGCAGAACCGAAGAAAGTTACGGTTTTAAATCCTGAGAAAAAGCGAAAGAAGGCAGCAGAAGGTTATGATGAAGGAGATTATACGTTATATCAAACGAAGACGGTTGGTGATTATTTTAAAACCGAGAATCCACTGGATATGCTAAGCACTGTCAATGAGGTATGGATGTCTCAATTTAAGGGACCCTCCATTACTTATTATTGGGGGGGGGTCTGAGGAATCATCAAGATGAGATGAGCATATGAATTAGCTCAAAATTGTTTGCACTAAGAATGGAAGTGCTAACCATGTTTGACAGAAAAATGTTGTGTTAAAAGTGTTGAAAAGTTATTCACTATTTAAAAAACTGGAGAAAAAAATTTTGGAAACCAAACTACTTTTTGACATATGATTCTCAGTTGTTTGCATTTTGTCCAATTTTCAAATAACAAATAAAATGGCTGCCAGAATATGGAGGAAATCCTAAAGTCATTGTTTCCATGGTAACAATTTTGGGTACCTTCAGTTTAATGGAAAACCACGTTCACAAAATATGAATTTGTAGTGATTTTGAATTTAATGCATTTTTACTCGTTTCTCATCCTTCAAATATTCATCCAAATTTTTAGCTCCGCTGTCGACTTTGTCGAGTGGAGCTTATCATATGAGTGATTGTCCGCCGTCGTCTGTGTCAATGTTTTACTTTTTTGACTTCTTCTTGAAAACTACAAGCCTGAATGCTTTGATACTTGGTGTATATGTACCTTGGATAGACCTCTCTCAGATTTGTTCATTTCATGATCATATCTTCAATTCTCTAATTTTGGTGAATATTTTTGTCATTTTTGGTAAAAAGTGATATTTTCAACTTCTTGTTGAAAACCGCAAGTCCAATTGCTTTGATATTAGACATATAGGTACTACATGTGTATCTCTCTCAGATTTGTTCATTTTGTAATGATATCTTCAATTCTCTAATTTTGGTGAATATTTTTGTCATTTTTGGTAAAAAGTTATATTTTTGACTTCTTGTAAAAAACCGCAAGTCCAATTGCTTTGATATTACATATATAGGTATTACATGTGAATCTCTCTCAGATTTGTTCATTTCATGATGATATCTTCAATTCTCTAATTTTGATGAACATTTTTGTCATTTTTGGTAAAAAGTGATATTTTCTTCTTGTTAAAAACCACAATCATTTATGGTGAAAAATGATATTTTTGAATTCTTGTTGAAAACAGCAAGTCCCATTGCATTGATACTATGCATATTGTTCATTTTCTAATGATATCTTCTGTTCTTTAATTGAAACGTGCATTGCTAACAGCGGAGCTATCTCAGCCGAGAGGCTGCTTGTTTTATTTCTATTTCGACAATCTTTTAATGAGTCGCTCTAATTATTGTCATACAT